TGCTCAAAAGCCTGATTGGGCTTATTATCTGGGGAGGGCTTATTTTAGTGCATGTGCTCAAAAGCCTGATTGGGCTTATTATCTGGGGAGGGCTTATTTTCAGGGAAACAGGGTAGCATTATTTTTCACAAATGTATCACATATCAGTTCTGACCATCTTTTACACACACTAAACTTGGCTTATTTATTGCTTGCATATAAATGCGAATAGGAAAAACAATATCTTTTTAACTATTGAACATCTCCAGTTTTCATATATAAATGCAAATAAAATCTATTTTTTAAATTATTGAACATCTCCAGGTTTCATATCTGATGATAATACATTTCTGCTAGAGATATAATTCTGGAATGTTGGGAACTATTTGATTTAAACTTTTGTAAAACGACATAGCTGTTGCAATGGTAGTGAGCACGTATCTCGAATCAATGTTTATATTTTTTGAAAATTAATACTACTTTCCTCTTTGCCAAAGGTTTAAATGTTAAAACTGGTGATTTCTCTTACTGCTACTGGCTCAAAATGTAACCCAACTGTTAACGCTATATCATTTAAACGTATACATTTCTGAATTGTTTATAGGAGCAAATATCAAAGGAAAGCTATGACTTCAAGAGTTTACACTTCCAAGAATGCAAGAATGAAATGGCAGTTACTTGAACGGAGATTAACAGAGATTATTATGCAGAAGATGACCATATCTAATATGGAAAGCGATATGAATAGATTATTGAAGGTACAGAATTTTGCAGACAAATTTCCTTTTTTTTTTGCATTGTCCCCCTAGTAATATAAATATAAATGTGATGCAAACTCTAAAGATTTTAAAGATGAACTACTTTTGCATTCTAGATGCTGCATGTTTGTTTCTTTCTCACAAAAATACAGCGAACATATTTAATGTACTTTCTTTTTCACCATAAAATATTGGATTGGCTGCATTTCCCAGCTGATACATTCTGTACACTTTTGAATTTTAGCAACGTGAAGAACTTACCAAAAGGAAAGAAAAGGTTTCCAGGAGAAGGGAGAGAATAATCAAAGAGGGTATCCCAGATACTGATAAAACCATCCATAATATCAATGAAGAGATGGAGTCGCTAATGGCCAATATAGATTACATCAATGATAGTATTTCTGACTGCCAAGCAAATATCATGCAAATGGAAGAAGCTAAGGTAAGCCACCCCCACCTATTTTTAAAAAGTATTAAGTTTCAATAGATACTGTAATATCTTTTTGATCCTTTAACTTCCTGTGAAATTAACTTTATGTAGGGCTGATTTTTAAAATATTTTAAGCTGTTACCTCATGTAAAATATAGGGATTATGTGATGACTAAACAGAACAATCGGGATTGGTAGAGATCATTTAAGGTGTTGGTATTGATCTTTACAATATTAAAGTTTAATAGAAATTCTGATCTCAATTTTGGATTGTAAATTGAAGACTACCTGGATTTTATTAAAACAGGTATAGTTTTTCGTGATTGTAATTTATGCTGATTTATGACTGAAATAAAAAAAATGATTTGATTTATATTTCACATATAGATAGAACTATGATTTTAGTTGCATTTGTAACATTTTTGTATCTTTCCTTGAAAACATTTCTTGCTTACAAGAGCAATTTTGCTTCATTAGATATTAAACTTCAATATACATATTTATAATATATTGTGAATATTCTCATATCTTGTGCAAAAGTATACATAATTGCTTGTGTTGGAATTACAACTACTCCTTTGATTAATACAACTTCAACTTTATTGTCTCTGACAATTTTTTTTATTAATAAAATAAAATTCCAATTTCAAAAGTGTCTAATTTAGGTCTCTATCTTGCATGTAGGGACAGGGTGGCTCAGTGGCTAAGACACTGAGCTTGTCTACAGAAGGCTGGCAGTTCAGCAGTTCAAATCCCTAGCGCCGTGTAATGGTGTGAGCTCCCATTACTAGTCCCAGCTTCTGCCAACCCAGCAGTTTGAAAGCATGTAAAAATGCAAGTAGAAAAATAGGGACCACCTTTGGTGGGAAGGTAACAGTGTTCTGTGTGCCTTTAGCATTTAGTTATGCCAGCCACATGACCACGGAGACGTCTTTGGACAGTGCTGGCTCTTTGGCTTTGAAATGGAGATGAGCACTGCTCCCTAGAGTGGGAATGACTAGCACATACGTTGTATTGCCAGTTGATTAATTTCTGACTATTTTCTGTTTTTGGTACAGGAGGAAGGAGACACTTTAGATGTTACAGCTGTTATTAACGCCTGTACTCTGACTGAAGCTCGTTATTTACTTGATCATTTCCTTACTATGGGCATTAATAAGGTAATTAACAGTGAAGAGTGATTTTTTTCTGGAATTAATGATAGTGAAACTATTGTTTGACTACGAGGCAGTGGATATATTTATTTCACATTCAGTATTCAGTGATTATTTTACTGGCTTTTAGGTGGGCTCCCATACCTACCATGTTTCCCCGAAAATACGACAGGGTTTTATTTTCTTTTGCCCCACAAAATATAGCCTTGGGCTTATTATCAGGGAGGGCTTATTGTTTTGGGGTTGCTGGGCGGCTGCTCCCTTGCGAGCAAAGTCCCGAAGAGCCGGGCACAGCCTCAGAGGAGAAGCAGCCATGAGGTAACCACGCTCACGAGCAGCCGCCCAGCAAATCCCCTCTCCAGCCAGGCAGAGCACCATTCACTGACCTAGGGGGTATCACTAAGACGCCAAGCCACGTGGTGCTCTGCCCGCTCCCCATCTCCCGCAGCTTGGCACATTCGGGACACCCCCTAGGTCAGTGCATGGAGCTCTGTCCGGCTGGAGAGGGGGGTTGCGCGAGCGCCTGTTCCACCCCCAGCCTCACCAAACCCTTGTGCAGCTTTCCCAGGGCACTGCCACCACTGCCCACTGCCACCACACTCTGAGGATAACTTCCAAACTCCAAAACTCCGCTGCCGAGTCTTCCAGCATCGGCCACTCTAGGAGTGCTCTCTGTGGTGGGCCAGCTTCCGGACAGAGAGTCTTCTGGACAGAGAGTCTTCGAGCAGCCTTGGTGCCTTTGGGATACCGCTAGGTCGGTGAGCAGTGCTCTGCCTGGCCGGGGTGTGTGTGTGTTGTCCATGGGGTTTATTTTCGGAGGTGGGCTTATATTTTTCCCACGCAAAAAATGTGGCAAGGCATTCGTTTCGGGACAGGTCGTATTTTCGTGGAAACACGGTAACAAAATTCATTCATTTGCCATGGTGGCACAGTGGTTAAAATGCAGTACTGTAGGCTAATTCTGCTGACTGCCAGCAGTTCAATTCTGAATGGCTCAATCTTGACTCAGCCTTCCATCCTTCCATCCTTCCGAGATCAGTAAAATGAGAACCCAGATTGTTGGGGACAATATGCTGACTCTGTAAACCGCTCAGAGAGGGCTGTGAAAGCATTAAGAAGCGATATACTGTATAAGTCTTAAGTGCTATTGCTATTTGTTATGTAAAGTAGCTGCCCATATTGAGGCTTTTCAAAAAGAAGTAGAATAAGGCAGTTTTTAAAAATCTTCACTAGGGTCTCCAAGCAGCTCAAAAAGAGGCGCAGATCAAAGTTCTTGAAGGACGCCTTAAGCAAACGGAAATCACCACTACTACCCAAAACCAACTCTTATTTCACATGTTGAAAGAGAAAGCAGAATTAAATCCTGAACTAGATGCTTTACTGGGCCACGCATTACAAGGTAATTTGAATGTTCTACAAAGCGTAATTATATTGCCTGCTGGATTATGAAGCATGGTGTATGGAATGTCTTTTCCTTAGTGTTTTACGAATAGATGCTGTACTTAAATTATACGATAAAATATGAGTCAAAGTTAGTGCATGTTAAAGGGGTTTGGTTCTTATTGCAAATAATCTGTTCTTCACCAAGGAAATATGGGGGGGGGGTGTAAAATCTAGTTAATTGGTCTTAGAGCATGAATTCAATTACCAAGTAATTTTATCTACAGTTAAATTGAACTTAAAATAAAATTCTCAGCATTTAAATTTAGTTCTAGAAAAGCTAGTTTTGTGTCATCTATGGCATCTATTCTGATAGTTCCGGTAGTCTTAATCCATTTATAATGCAATGTAGGGCACTTTGATTTGCCATTCTGCTAATTTATGGGTTTTGATTGGCGTGTTGATTTTTGTTTCCTCCTTGCTGTTGTTTTACACAGACCTAGATAGCATACCATTGGGTAAGTATGTGTAGCTCTTTCTGTCCTGCATAGCTGCATGAGATACTAATAATTATATGTGTACACTAACTGGCACATCATCGAGTGTGAATGTCCATAAAGTTTGCATGTACTAGCTGGGAAGTGTACATTGGTGTCATGATGTCATCACGCAGCAAATTATAATTTATTTGTTTCCCCCTTGCTTCCCTCTTGCAGACACCCATGCAGATAATGCTTATTGTTATACGCTTACGGAGTTGTTTTTATTTAGAAGTTTCTTTTTGTTACCAAAAATTACTAGTTGGATTATAACCGAAAGAGGCATGAACGCAACCATTGTGAATGTACTTAAAAGCTTATGTTTTTGTTCATTTGGATGCTGTAGCTACTAGGCTGTTCCTGATACAGCTGTGTTCTTACTATAATATGTGTAACAATTTTTTATGTTTTTAGTTAAAAACATAATTTTAACACATTTTAGTAGCTCCTTTTTCTTCTTTATGGTGAACTGAATGTTTAACTTGAAACGTTTTGTTACAAATATGATGGCTATTTCAATGCACATTGCGTAGATAAGCAGAGTCAGTGGTAGTACATGCCATTTTGTTAATGCGCCAAGAATGAATTTGAATTGAAATGAGAGACTTTATTATATGTGTGGCAGTGGTGGGATTCAAATTTTTTTTACTGCCAGTTCTGTGGGCGTGGCTTGGTGGGCATGGCGGGGAAGGTTATTGCAAAATCTCCATTCCCTCCCGATCAGCTGGGACTCGGGAGGCAGAGAATAGATGGGGCCGTGGCCAGTCAGAGGTGGTATTTACCGTTTCTCCGAACTACTCAACGTTTCAGCTACCGGTTCTCCAGAACTGGTCAGAATCTGCTGAATACCACCTCTGATGTGTGGTGTCAGTACATATAAGTGTTGCGTCTGGCCGGCACAGCCGACAGCCGCAGCCTAGCCAGAGAAGATCTGATTGGCTCTGGCGCGGCTGCCGGCTGGCGGGAGAAAAGCTGTCGCCCGATTGGCTCCCCACCTGACAGCCATCAGTATAAATAGCTGTCAGGCGGGTGCTGTCCTTCTGCGCGCGTTCTGAAGTTCAGTTGCTGTTGTCGTTCAATAAAGGACTGGTTAAAATGTTACCTCAGCGTCTGCCTACTTAAAACTGGCGACGAGGAGCTGTTGCCCAGTTACTAGTTGCTATAACTGAATTGTACTAGCTGTTATATTATATAGAGAGCCAACTTGGTGTAGTATTTAAAGCAGGAATTAGAAACCAGGAGACCATGAGTTCTAATCCCACCTTAGACACCAAGCCACTCGGGTGATCTTGGGTCAGTTACACTCTCTCAGTCCTAGGAAGGAAGGATTTCTGAAATCTTGCCAAGGAAACTGCAGGGAGTCATCAGGAGTCAAGAAGGCAAAAACAAAATTTCCTTCCCCCCCGATGAGGAAGATACGTGTCTTCCTCAATCTCAAGCCCTCTACCAGAGGCCTGGGAGTTTGAAGATTCCTGCAGTAGAATAGTACCTTAACTGTTCCAACTATTGCACTCTTCTGGAGAGCTCTGTTGTTCCTGGGATCTATTGGTGCCACTTTCCCAGCTTAGGAATCACAGTTCCAAGTTCTCCTACCACCATTGAGACCCCCTTGGCTTTTACTTTCCAGTTCTTCTCTGGTTCCTCCTTCAGGTCTTGTTACTCCTCCAGTTTCTCATACTCCTCCTTCCTGATGTTGCTGAGTGGGCAGTGCTACATCTATCATTACCACTGTCTTTTAGTCCTTGTTTACTACCACAGTGTCTGGTTGATTGGCCAGTACCTGCCTGTCTGTCCGGATCTGGAAGTCCCATAGGATCCCGTTCTTCTCCACTACCTTCTGTGGAATCTTCCAGCTAGACTTTGGAGGGTTTAGTCCATATTCTATGCAGTTGCTCCTTTACACGATGCCAGCAACATGTTTATGCTATTCAGTGACTGCTGATCCTTGCTTGCATCTTACACCCTGCCACTGTATGATGTGTTGGACTGTCTCGGAGATCTCTCTGCAGAGTCTGCACCTTGGGTCCTATCTAGACTCCTGCTGCTGTGGATCTGGGGTTTAATGGCACAATGCTGTCCTTTAGTACAGCCCTTTCCAACCACTTAGGATTTCCCAGTCTGCCACCTCAACGTATCTCTTGATGGTACATCCCATGCAAGGTTTTGTCCTGTCGTGAAATTTCCTCTGTTTGATCTCTTCTCCTGTTTGCTGCTCCCTGTGGAATCAGCTTATATTTGGGTGCCCCCCCTCCCTCCCTCTCTCTCTCTCCCCCATCAATTTTCCTACCTTGACTTAAAGTTTCAAATGTGAAATGTTTCATATAAATGCCATTTTATGGACTTTCAAGCTATTTTCATGGAAGATATGACACATTCATAATCACCAATATTTAGCACTGTTTCACATGAATAAATGGACATAACAGTGGCTTTTCCTTCCAGGCCCATCTTTTCCAGTTAAAAAAGAGTATTGTTTAGCAGACTTCATATGGGTAGACCACATCTGCTTATACTGCTTGCTTCCATGTGTTCCATAAAATTCCATTTGCCATTTTATACATGCCATTTTTATACAATATGAAAAATATATAGTTAGATTCCATTCCCATTTTATTCATGTGTACAGTGTAGATACGTAAAACTTTATATGGATTTAACATTCTGCTTTAATGAACAGCCCTTCCCCTCATTAGTCTGTTAAATCATTAGTTTGTATAATTTTTGATCCCTAAAATTATTCACATGATCAAATTGGATTTCAAAGTCCTCTCCATAGCCTTCATTTACTTCCCTCAGGGAGCTAAAGCAGACAATTTATATACAACTAGCATTCCCTTCAGATATATACTTTGGAAGCCAATATCCAAGATCAACTTATAGATAAATGTATAGCTCTTTTCCTGATTTTCTTTCCTTCATTACAAAATTATACTGTTTATAATACTGTTATTATATACCGATTATATTGTTCTTACACAACAATATCTTTAGATAGGTCTATGCGGTTGAGAATGAAGCATTCTGGCAAATTATATTTCACCCCAAATTATGTCTTTGTCCTTTTGGTTAAATAGTCTGTTTGCTAACTCTCAAGCAGAATTGAAGGTGGCACGATTTCACTTGATTCATTGGCATAACTTTGGAAGTTTACTTTTGATTTTGGAATAGGTTATTTCTAAACTACAGGAAGCCTCCTTCAAAACAGGCTATTCCAACTGTGAAACAGAGGTGTCAGATGGGTTTTTTGTCCTCCATTTTGGTATTTTGATCTCAAATTGTTTTTTAATCTCTATTTGATATCTACTTAGAGTTTTGAACAACTACTACTGTTAATGTTTTTAAAGTTTTCTTTTGGCCCTTGATTCACATAGTGATCTTCAGAAAGGTTTTTACCCAGCTTCAGCTGGCACTAGATGAAAATAAATGTTGGATGACAGAAATTACTGTTTCAATATCTTGAAATGGTTTCCTTCCAGCTACTAATGTTCTTGTGAATATTAATGTTGAATTTATGTCCTGCAATAAAACGGGAGCCCTATTTGGCATTCGTTCCACAGAGCTCTCAAGCAAGTGTTTCTCTTAAGCAAATTGTTATAGCCACAATTTTATGAGTTTATGTTTTATTAATGCAAATCAGAATAATTATTCTAAGCAGTAAGTATATGGGGGAGTAAGTGCTGGGACGCTATGCCACTGTTATGTGTGATCTCCACTTTCTTGATGGTGTCTTTACAATTTTCTTCTGCATATGGATGATTGATAGTGATAAAATATAAGCTATTCCCTACTGATTGAGAAAACTTTAAAAAGTGAATATAAGGGCTTCTGTTTATGGGTATTATGGGAAACTGGGTCAGTTCAATTAAATGTTATTTTAAGTAAAAAGCATTATTAGAATATTATACAATACTAATTTTTCTCCCTCTGATCTTTAGATAGCATGAAAAATCCTTACAACAGATATATATTTTGTTGATTTGAAATTGACTAACAAACATAATGATTTTGAAAATTTTCTAGAAAACGTGGAAGACAGTACTGATGAAGATGCTCCTTTGAATAGCCCCGGGGCTGAAGGAAGGTGAGATCAGTGGAAACTATGCTCATTGTATTTTTAATGTAACCTTTCTCAGTATGTTCTTGAACAGATTCTATAGAAAATAAATAGTAAGCAAAGGGGAACAACAAAGCTGTTGTTATAGATTGTTAGCCCATATATTTCCATGAACTTTTTCTTTAAATGTAAGAACATGGCTTAGTTTGTATCTAAAAATCATGGCAACCGGACCAAATGTTCTTGAAATGGAGGTGTTTCCTTATTCATCAGGTAACTTCTTCAGTCAAAATGAACATTTGGGTAGACAGTGAGTCAGAGAGTCTTTGGAATGAACCAACTCTTGCTATACAGATTGCAGGGGGTTTCTCCCCAAAATGAAAAACAGATATTTTTGGTCTGGATGATTGAGTCTTCATTTACATATAGCTTACTTGAGTTCTTGAAGATCTACTTTTATATACACATTGTCACACATACACATATGCATATATGTATGTATGTGAACAGGGATGGGATTCAAAGATTTTAACAACTGGTTGTCTGCCCGGTTGCTGGGTGGGCGTGGCCTACTCAGCCTGCTGCACCGTGGTGGGGGAGGGGAAATTTTCACCCTCCCCAGTCTCTGGAAGCTTCCTTGAGCCTTGGGAGGGCAAAAACAGCCTCTCCTGGGTTCTGGAGGCCCCCCAGAGGCCAGAAACAGGCCCGTTTCTGAACTTCTGGGAGGCCCATTTTTCGCCCTCCCCGAGTCTCCGCGCCGGCCCTGCACTTACCTGGCATCCAAAACGGGGAGACTCCTGGGAGAGGGGGGGTGGGATGGGAGGGGCCAGCCAGTCCTTGCAACTAGCGGTTCAGCGAACCAGATGTAAAATTAGCATCTGGTTCTCCCAAACCAGTCCGAACCGGCTGAATCTCACTCCTGTATGTATATCAATACATATGAGGTCTGGATACATCTCAGTCACTCAGATATCTGGATGAAAACAAATTATAAACCCAGAATTGGCACTTAGGGCTAATTTTCTCCTTGTTAGTCCGTGTGGGAACCCAGATTGTTGGGGACAATATGCTGACTCTATAAACTGCTTAGAGAGGACTGTAAAGCACTTTGAAGCGGTATATGAGCTTAAGTGCTATTACAAAAATGTAGATAAATACAACATTTTGAATCATAACACACATTCAGTCATAACCTTTGTGGGGGGAGCCTTTCATGTGTTGAATATCTGTATATCCTATCACACAAGTAATGACGGGAAGAAAAACTATATTAGAGTAAGAACATGTTTATGGGATAATAGTCGAAGGATGAGCATATATGTCAGATCTGACATCCAGCCTTCCAGAAGATTTTAAAAGTGGGCTTTTCCCACAGTGCATTGGGATTGAACGAGGCTGGAGAGTGTTGCTTTAGGACAATGTGAATTGGCTTTTTGAATGGTATTTTTTATTGTTTCTATATTATTATTGCTATTATTGTGGACCGTCCAAAGTTATGGCACAAAAGATGAATGGCCACATAAGTTTCAAATTTATAATAGGAGGTGGGGTATCATGAGATCTTAGCACTAAATGTATGTTTTTATTTGCAGTTCTTTATCTTCAGATCTTATGAAACTTTGTAGTGAAGTCAAGCCTAAAAATAAGGTAAGCTATGACCAATAGCATGATAAAGGTTAAAGAACTCATATTAAATTAAACTTGTAATGTCAAAACCTGGTTTTTGGCAACAAAAGAGAAATGGCTTGATACTATATTTGTCTGCGGGGTGTGTGTGTCAGAAGTGGTATTCAGCCAGTTCTCTCCGGTTCAGGCGAACCGGTAGCGGCGGCTGCAGGTGGCTCCGCCCACCCGCCCCTACGTAATGCATGAGCATTGTGCATGCGCATAAGGCAGTGCACATGCGCAGACGCAGCATATGCACTCACATTTGTGAACTGGTTGGGAAGGTAAGTGAATCCGACCACTTGGAGGGGTGGGGGTGTTTCCCATCTAGGCTATGCTTAGGGATTTCCCGATCACATCCAGAATCAATTTTGCTTAAGTTTTTAAAAGTCTATCAAGATCAATTAGTTTCTGGCTCCTGCTGCAGTCAATAGTATGGCAGAATTTGAGATAGCAGTGCCATCATTCTGTACAAACAGGGTGTCTTCAGCTCATTTCCAGCCTTTGAAACTGCTCAGATTCAGAATGCTAGAAGGGGAGAGATGATCTCTTTTTGATGGCAATTTTTTCTAGTTTTTTCTTACAAGTTTTCTTCCAGGTTTTTCTAGTTTTTTCATGATTTGATTGATTGACTAAAACCTGGAAGAAAATGAGAGAGTTTTTTCGTTCAGAGTGTTTTTGTCTTTGTGCTTTCTAGGTTGACATTGGGTTGACATCAGAAGAATGTAAGAATAACCTTACCTTCGCAGAATTATAGCCCATTATCCCTACTAGCGATCAGCAAACCATGAATGGAACTAGTTACATAATTGTACTAGTTACAGACAGTAGCTGCTTTTGTCAGCATAGATAAGTAGGAATAATTTTATTTTAGGACCAAGTAAATGATATCGTTCTATCTTCATTTCAGACCATTCTGTAAGTCCTGGAAAAGAATAGATTGTGTTACTGCCATGAGGGCAAATCTATGGCAGACGTACCAGAAGTGGCACACAGAGCCATCTCTTTGGGCATGTGAGCTGTCGCCCTTTGCTCTTTCGGGTTCTGTTGCACCAGCCAGCTGGTCTTCACGCATGCATGCTCACCAGGAACCGGAGGACTAGGTAGCCGGTGCACATGCACATTCCGGAAACCAGAAGAGCAAATGCACCGTACGTGCACGTGCACCGGGCGGCTGATCTTCTGGTTTCCGGCGTGTGCACGCTCCCGTTTCGGCACTTGGTCCCGAAAAGGTTCGCCAACACTGTATTGTTCTTTCTTTTCCAATCTGTTTCAGGCACGCCGTCGGACAACAACCCAGATGGAACTGCTTTATGCTGATAGTGGTGATTTAACATCAGATGTCAGTGCTGGAGAGTCGGCTGTGTCGAGTCCCCTTACATTGGTTGCAGAAGCTCAAGAAAGTGGCATGGATTTGGACACGAAAGAACCTTCTGCCAGAGACAGAGAGGCCCTTTTGTTGCAGTCACCCTTGTCTTCTAAGGCTGCCAGCATGTAAGATATGTACAGTGCACCAATTCCCTGTTGGCTTGTTAAAATTTTAAGCAAGGGGTTCTCTGCCTAGTTGTTGTGTGGGCGTGGCCATAATGGGACGTGCCCTAGTTGGCCTACATCACGGTGTGTGTGTTTTTGCCTTCCCCGGGTTCTGGAGGCCCTCTTTCCGAACTTCTGGTAGGCCCATTTTTCGCCCTCCCCAAGCTTCCACACACTCCTGCACATACCTGCATCCAAAACAGGCCACATGGGGACTCCTGGGAGAGGGACCATCTGGGTGGGGCCAGCCAGGAATGGGCTGTGGATGATATTCCCCGAAAATAAGACTTGGTGCCTTTTTGGTGGCAAAGATAAATAAGACAGGGTCTTATTTTGGGGGAAACACAGTATATAAAGTTCAACGATGGTTAACAATATTGGTAAAGGATACCTGGGTTTTTTTTTTGCATCCTCTCTATAAAAGGGTTCCTCTCGAAATTTCTTTGAAGGAGCTACTCTTAACTTGCAGCCCTGATTAATATATTGGAACTACAACTCCTATAAGTCGCAGCCCATGTAGTAACGGCCCATGTGGATTAAGGAATCCAAATCCATCTGAATTACGATTGTCTACCCAAGTTTTCTTTTTCTTTTTATGATAGGTCCAAACAATTATCATCTCCAACAGACAAAAAAATACCAGAACCTTCACCTGGATCAAAGAGAAAAAACTATGATAAATCTGTAGATAAGGCAAAGTCAAAAGAACAAAAACAGTAAGATGCTTTACTTTAAAGGTTGATTTTATTGATTTTAGTGTTGTTGAGAAATTGAGAGTGATTTTGCTTTGTTGAAGAAAGCTGACTTGGTAACTCTCCTTCTGCACCTCGCTTAATGGCCCACCGAAAAGTGGTGTGTAAACTTCATTAATGTTGACTACTTCTTATTGAGGGTTCTCAGTCTTGAACCGATGTTTTCCATTGTAAAGCTCTCTTATTTACATTTTTTCCCTATGCATAGGCTTCGTTTTAAGTTGTTATACTGCCATCTTATGGTGGTTTGTTTTATAATCTTTACGTTCTACCAGAGGAGCTTGCAGTAAACATTACTAAATGAAAGGCATCAGTGACCTAGTCCCTGGCATACTTTCTTAATTTTAAGCCAGTGTTTCTCAACCTTGGCAACTTGAAGATGTCTGGACTTCAACTCCCAGAATTCCCCAGCCAGCAAAAACTCCCAGAATTCCCCAGCCAGCATTCACTGGCTGGGGAATTCTGGGAGTTGAAGTCCAGACATCTTCAAGTTGCCAAGGTTGAGAAACACTGTTTTAAGCTCTTTATTTCATTTGCTTTTTATTTATTTATTTATTTTTTATTATTTGCAATTGGTTTTTAATGTTTAATTTTTTTCTTGTAGCTCAGATTCTGGAACTTCAGAGGCTAGTCTCTCACCTCCTCCTTCCCCACCAAGCCGGCCCCGTAATGAACTGAATGTTTTTAACCGTCTTACTGTTTCTCAGGGAAGCCCATCAGTTCAGAAGGATAAGTAAGTCACAAGGATCCACCTCCCCACAGCAGTGATGGTACCCAAAGCGCATGTGAGCCTTCAACAGAGCTTCAGAATGCTTTGGCTATGGCCATCTCATGCTAAGAGCTAAAAAAAAAAAAAGCTCATTTGTTGCTTCCACGCTCTTTAAAATATTATAAAACATTCCTAATTACCTAAACATTTCCTGCTGAAATATACATAAATTTATACTTATGCCTGTGTGAAAATATTTTTTCCTGTGATCTCCAAAGAGCCAGTTTTTTCATTTAAACGTTTTTCAGGCATGGGAATACTCTGTGAGTTTCTGTACTGTTGAATGATGCAGAGGCCAGCATTCATATAATTATTGCATTGCAATATAATGCAATCTGCACTTTCAGAAACCACACTTTGAGGGTAAAGAAAGAACTAGAAATATCAACTAGAGGAAATTTCAGTACTTGCTTTGTGCAGTATTTATTTTTTTTCCAGTGGTAGTCATTTGAATTCATCCAGATTCTTTATTGCAAGCGTGCTGCACTTTTGCAGCTAATATAGTGTTTAATTTTTATGTTTTTAGCAGTAGTATTGAGGGCATTTTTTTCCTTTATTTCTTGTCTGGTCTTCCTATGCTTTATCTTTAATTAATGTCTCCCCCCCTCCCAAATCTGTGATTCGCTATACATGTTTCTAACAGTTGTTATAATCCACTGAGATCTTTTAGCCTATGCTTGGAACGATTTTATACTAGTGAAAAGAAATAGCTATTCTCTATATAGTGTTAATTATTGCAATTGGACATAAGGGTATACAAGAACTATTGATCTGTTTTGAGCTTTCATAATCGTTACTCCGACATCAACTGATCGATTGTGTTGAGGAATGCAAGTATCTTCAACTGTTAAAAATATATTGATATATTCTTTAACATTGGGCTATTTTTAAAGGATTACAAGCATATAACTGCCTCAGTTCAAAAGAAGAAAACACAAAGGGTTAATTTCTTAACAGCAGTTACGATTTTGACTGCAATTGCAAAACTGATCCTTGTCAATCCCCGCCCGATGCATGTATAAATGAACAAAAAGGCAGAAAGCTACATGTTAAATTCAATCATTTTATCAAAGTTCTGTCCCCCAGCTTTTTTTAAAGAATGAATCAAGGAAGCTGGAGATGGTTTATAGAAAATCTGTTTGATAGAAGCTCCATTTTCCCCGGTGAAAAAGAGTTTTCTGCATATTCTTCCATCGTTATCAAACCTGGCTAGGCCTGTTTAGGTGTTAGTTTACACGTTGTTTTTTCTACCTTTTCGTAACAATGCTGTTTCCCCCACCCTCCTTTCTTTATTCTGATGATTTCTATAATCTTTCTTCATAATCTTACTACTGTTTATTGTAGGTCTGATGAAAGTGATTCTTCTCTGTCGGAGGTACACAGGTACTTTTGTATTCCTCCTTTCCATCTTCTGGACTCTTAGTGTTACGCTTAGTATTTTTTACTTGCAGTTCCTAAATTAACTAACTAAACATTTTTGCATGATTAAAAAAAAAAATCCCATGCTCCTCAAAATGTTCATATGTCTCTTGGATCATTTTTTTTCTGAAGCATTCTTATTCTGTTTGGTTTTTAAAACAATATATCTCTAGCATGTGCACTAATTTCTCTTTGGAAATCGTGTCCGGGTGGTGTGCCTGTTTTTCCTTATGTCTTTCTCTTCATCTTTTAATAAACCCATGGCAAACACTCTCAATTTGCTTTGTTGAAAGTGACAGGCTGTAATAAACTAGGTAGGAAAGACACATTTTCATTTTAGATTCACATACATTCACAACCGTTCTTAAATCTTAAAGGTGCTATAAAAGCAGTCCATCTCTAAGGGAAATCTGTGCCCATCAAAGTAAAGGGAATAGAAATTATCAATAATCACACAAGCATTTGTTAATCTCAAACCTTCAGCTTAGGACAAAAATAACCCCTGCAACCAATTCTCAATACAGGAGACTAGGATATAACTAAAAATCAAGGAATTTCTGAATCAACATGTTGCAAATTATAAATTATGTATAAGGATTTTCTTTAACTGCCCGGTATTTAAATTGTGCTTTCATTTATAGAATGAAGTAACAAGTAATATTTTTCAGGTAATAGAACACTATTGAATACTTAGAACGTATTCTAATTGTTTCTTCATTTATTGTTACTGAGTGTGTCTGCATCTTTTGGTACATAGACCTCTATTTCTATATATCTTTAGCCCATTTGGACAAATTCCTGGCACATTTAATTCCTTTTTTTAAAAAATGGAATGAGTATCAGTTAAGCTTGTTTTTATTTTATTGGAGATTTCTGATACAACATAAAAGTTTTTTTCTTAAATAGTTTCTATCTTCCTTGCTTGCAATCCAACTTTTACTGACTGACTTCATTCTGTCTTTATTGCCTGTTTTCACTCTTCACTTTCTAGTTATCTTAAAATAAATATATATACACACATCATATATATATACATCAGATATATGTTTTTTGTGTAAATAAAAATTTGCAGGCACATTATATATACCGTATTTTCACCCATATAACCCGCCCACGCAAATAACCCGCACACGCATATAACCCGCGGGTT